GTGCTTTAACCCGCTGCGCCACCAGGGCCATCTTCCTTGCTTTTTTCTTAGCTTTCTGAACTGGCTAGAATGTGGAATAGAAGATTTGGTAATATCTTTGTCTTGATTCTAACCTCAAGGGAAAATGTTTATTGTTTTACCACTAAGAATGATGTTTGCTGTAATTATTACAAATAACCTTTATCAAATTAAAGAATATGCTAATATTCCTAGTTTTCATCATGCATGTATATTGAATTCTAGCAAACACATCTATATCCAATAAAATGGTCAGGCTTTTCCCTTTTAAATGTCAACATGACAATTTACTCTGACTGCTCTCACTTCTTGTAGATTTTGTTCTAATTCTTTTTGTACCATGCAGTTATTTCAAACTGAACTTTTGTTTCTTTAATAGTAGTAAGCCTGTATCTCACAGCCTGTGATCAAGAATTCCAGGGCCTCATGTCTTTGAGTCTGTTTCTAGTGGTGGTTGATTCTGCTGGTTCTTGCTCATAGTGTCTTGTTTGCTTCAGTACTTTGTTATCTATTATTTAACTATGTGCTAAAAACCAGAGATTATATTTGGAAGAGTATTTGTTAAAATTCTTCCAGGTCAATCATGACAATAACTCCCCTAAAGAGGAATTTTTCATTGCTTCTGCCAAGACTAGGGGAGACCACTGGAAACATCTTAAGTCAAATTAAAGTCTTAAGATTTGCTTGGCCACTCATCTGAGAAAAGTCCTGGCTGGAAACTTATGCAAGTGTCAGTTTGTTAAGTGTTTCTTTTAGATGTTCCATATAAGTGCAAACAGACAATTTGTGGTCTTTTAAGCCTGGCTCTTTTTACTTCAAATAATTTTTCCAAGTTCTCCCACCTCCTTTCCTACCTTCTCCTTTTTTTAAGATCATTTGTGTAGGGCCCTCCCTGGTGGCGCAGTGGGTAAAGCACAGCAGTAAGAAGCTAAAGCCACTTTAGCATGGGTTCAATCCCTGCCCGATGTGATCCACATGGCGTGGCAGACCTCTCCTGGCCCACCTGCTGCTCCCCTCAGCAGTGTACTTCGTCGATCTGCCTGTTCTGCTCCCCACTCTGTCTCTGGTGAATCCT